AAAGCTGTGCCATAAAGTTATATGTTGGAATAAAAATAATTATTTTCCAATGTGATGCTACCACCACAGGCCTGAAGCCAGCCAGTACAAAGGTGTGACTGTTGGTGCTGATATTAACTCACTGGGTCTAACCTAGAGAAACCACTTAGGCAGTTTCCTAGCAAATAGTGGGGTTAAACTTCGGAGGTTTCTTATACTTGCTGACCCATGGTTCTCATACCCGCTCTCTGCTAATCAACTGTTCTGGAGGCGAGTTTGTGAAAACATAACCCTTCTTATAAAAGATCCTTGCGCAAAGTGATGCCTTATGTGTGTGATTTTATTTCAAAATTAAAAGTATATAGATGGTTTCCATTTGAAAAGCTGAAAAATTAATATAAACATACATGAACTCACCCTTTCCCCAAAGAAGAGATGATACTGTTTTGTTGCTTGTTTCTTTCTTTGTTTCTGACACAGCATTTCTTTATGTAACAACCCTGGCTATCCTAGAACTCACTCTATAGACCAGGCCTTGAAATCACAGAGATCCATCTACTTCTGTCTCCCGAGTGCTGAGATCAAAGGTGTGTGCCACCACCAGCTACCAATACTGTTTTGTTGTATGTGCTTTATATTTTTGAAATAAAGTCTAGTATTTATAGTAAATATTAGTCCAGTATTTGCAGTTAAAATTGTATAGACAGACATAAAGGATATCTCATTTAATTCTTGTAACAGTCCCTTGGCATATAACTGTTCCTTATTCTTATTTTATGGATAAGGAAATTAATAGTTTGATACATTAACTGACTTAGTCATATACTAGTGAATTTAGAACTGAGGGTGGACTCGATCCTGTGGAGTAGTGCATTCTATCAGGTCTTCCTTCCTGGATTCACAGGATAAGCGGTGCACTGTATACCATGGGGCTGCTCTGTGAATAAGCTGTCTTATTTTAGTTTGAATGCATTTGATACTTTAACACTAACAGGAAATGGTTCATCTGAATCTGCAGACTCTGTAAGGATCTGAATGGGTCAAGAATGGTCAGGGCGGAAGCCTGCTGTCATTGTGGACTGTGAGACTCTGGTGTATGGGAATTCTTCATACAACGACAAATCTCTGCCTCAGAATTTTCTTTTGTCTGAACTTTCTCAAAGTTTTATCTGGGGAAACTGGAATAGGATTTATACTTGATCTCCTGTCTGTTTTTACTGCCCTATACTAGCTTATCTGCAAGGATAAATTAACCAGGCAGAGTTTATCATCTATTGAGAAGTAAGGTCTCACTTTGTTCCTCAGGCTGGCCTTGAACTTGTGATCCTCCTTGTAGGATTGCAGGTGTGTGTTGCGGTGCTCAGTTCTCCTCCAGTATTTGATGTTAGCCTTTCTCTCTCTCTCTCTTTTTTTTAAAGATTTATTTATTTATTATGTATACAACATTCTGCCTCCATGTATGCCCACACTCCAGAGGAGGGCGCCAGACCCCATTACAGATGGTTGTGAGCCACCATGTGGTTGCTGGGAATTGAACTCAAGACCTTTGGAAGAGCAGCCAGTGCTCTTAACCACTGAGCCATCTCTCCAGCCCCTAGCCTTTCTCATAGTGGGAGGGAATGAGCCAGTGTGAATAAGTTGGGGTAGTTTTTAGAAAATACTCTGCTAGAGAATTGTGATGATGATTGGAGCTAAGGGAAGTATCGAATACACAACCTGGATGTCTGTGTGCTGTGAAAGACACGGAAGGGTGTGCCCTCCTAGTTCCAGCTGTTGCCACAAGACCTGCGACTGGCTGTTGCCTGTGTATGTTGTCTCATTCTTCCTGTGCACCATCCAGCAAACTCAACTCCTGTACCTCAGGCTTTTGGCATCTCTAAAAGATATCTGAGAGCCAGGTATGCTTATGTACTCCTAACATCCTGTCACTTGCTGAGGCAGGAGGATCACTGACTTTGAGGCCAGCCTGGATCACCTGATGAAACTCTCAAAATGGGGTGTGGTGAGGGCTACGGGAGCCATGGCTCAGTGGTTATGAGGACCCAAGTTTGATTCTCAGCACCCACATAGGGTGGCTGATAACTACCTGTAACTAACTCTTCTGGCCTCTGCTGGCAGTATATCTGTGCTCAAACGGACACAGACACATATACACATAATCATTGAAAATTTTTTTGATGGTGTTCTTGGGGTAGAGCTACAACACCGTGCTAACATGCTTGCCTAGCACATACATAGCTCACTGTCCGGTCTGCAGAAATGCAAAGATACTGGTAATCTTATTATGGAAGTAATGTGTGATTTAGAACTGATCTTGTCAAAAGTGAGATAATAAATGTGTCCAAGCAACCCTGTCTCCCAATGTTAAAAACTTTTAAAAGTTAATGGAAGTTTTAGAAAAGGAAATTGTATTTTATTTTAAAATTGTATTACTGGGGCTGGAGAGATGGCTCAGCACTTAAGAGCACTGTCTGCTCCTCCACGGGTTCTATGTTGGATTTGCAGCACCCACATGGTGGCTCACAACCATCTATAGTGGGATCTGATGCCCTCTTCTGGCATGCAGACGTACATGCAAATAGAGCCCTCAATATATAAATAAATAAGTCTTTTTAATCTCAGCACCCAGGAAGGCAAAGGTTGGCTGATCTCTGTGAGTTTAAGGCCAACCTGGTCTACAGAGCAAGTCCAGGACAGCCAGGGCTACACAGAGAAACCTTGTCCCAAAACCAGCCCTACTCCTGTTCCTTCCACCAAAAAAGTGTTGGAAATGTTCACTTCTCTCAGTCTTTCAAGTTAAAACACTTTTTGTATTTCAATTACATTCCAGTAGCCAAGCTATTCACAAACTTTCCAACTGCACCATGTCCAACTGTCCATGTAAAAAACAGCAGATTTTATATGTGTATATATTTATTTATTTTGAGACAAGGACTTAGGATATAGTCTTGAACTTGTAATCCTCCTGCCTCAGCCTGCCTTCATTCTAGCATAATAGGAATGTTCCACAATAGCCAGTTCTTTACAGTTGTTCTTAGTTTTACAGTTTTATAGTCTTTCACTAGGTAAGAATTTTATTGTTATTTTGTACGTGATTGGAATATTAGCCATACTTACACTAATATTATATCATGAATTTGTGCACATTTTTTTTAGCACCCCCCCATTGGTTGTTTTGTTTTTTGTTTTTCATGATACAGTTTCTCTGTGTAACAGCCCTAACTGTCCTGGAACTCTCTTTGTAGACCAGCTGGCCTCGAACTCAGAGATCCACCTGCTTCTGTCTCCTGAGTGCTGGGATTAAAGGCACGTGGCACCTGGCTGCTTTTAATACCCTTATTAGTATAATTTTAGTGCAAAAGCCCCACAGTTCCAGGAGTTCCAGCAGACTATGTTTGGCTATTTGTCTCAGCTTGCGGAAGAGACAGTAATGAATGACAGAGAAAGATTTTTATTAAGGTGGCCACGATGAGAAAAACAGATAAATGGGTTTGCCGATACCAAGTCTGTCTTCGGGAGGCTGAGAGGAACTTTGAGATTTTATAGAAAAGCGAAATGGGAGAGGCTTGTGGTTTGCGTAGGTGACAGAACTTGTGATCTGGGTCAGGGCATGGGTCTGATTTCTTATGCTGGTTCAGTTCTGGTTCTGCAAAGGCTTCTAGAGAACTTGTTAGTGATGTCATCACTCTGGGGCAGTCTGCTTGCCATGAGCTGATTTCTCCAGTGCCAGCGTGCAGCCTCACATTATAGGTAATTGCCCTTGTTTGGGAGGTGATCTGTCCTGCCAGGCTTGCTTTTGCTTGGGAGGAGTTTTGGCTTCTTGTCATAAAGATGTTTACAGATCAGTCTTGTCATTCCTGGAATCCAAGAGAACTGCAGAAGGGAGTGAGTTAGCAGGAAAAATGTTAAGAAAAAAAAAAAAAGAGCCAGAAGGCATATGGTTAGGGACTGGTACCCTTCATCTTCCTAGTTCAGTCTTAAAACGCCTTTCTAAAGTTAATACAGAGCCAAAGTTAATTTAAACAGAGCTAAAGTTATGATTGGGAAAGTCTGAATGTGTTCTACTTCTACAAATACACTTTAAATGTAGTGGGGGGAAAGCCTCTCCTATTTTTTGTTTAAGGCACGCGCTTGCGGGGTGTGTGTGTGTGTGTGTGTGTGTGTGTGTGTGTGTGTGTGTGTCAGGGGACGTGACTGGAGAGATGGCTCAGCTTTCAAAAACCCTTGTTGCTCTTCCAGAGGGTCTGGATTTGATTCCCATCATCCACGTGGCGGATAACAAACACCTGTAACTTCAGTTCCATGGGATCCGATGCCATATTCTGTAGCCCGCCCCAACTAGGCACGTACATAGTGCACAGACATGCATTCAGGCAAAAACACCCACACACTTAAAATTTAAAAAGATTCCCTAAACCGATGTATAACATATCATATCCAGAACTTGTCGTTTTAACCGTTTGCAGAAATGCACCCCACAGTAGAAATCTTGGCGTCACCACTAATTAGTTTTTTAGCTACAAGTTCAGCTGCCCCCGTTCTCACACGGGCGGTCCCTCAACCACACCAATATGCCTCTGCCTCCGAGGCTGCACGCGGTTTCCTTTATCCGTAGAGCGTTCCCTATCGGCTGGCTAAACGTTCCTGTTCTGGGTGATTTCTCAGCTGCCTCTCTTTGGAAGATTCCCCTTGCCGTGTTCTCCCAGATCCGGCACAGTAAACTAGTGGGCACCAAACGTCCCCAGCTCCCCCATCTGGCAGCCGCCGGAACGTTTTTTTGCGTGGCTCCAGCGCGCTGCGGAAGAATTTTGACAGCGTTCCCTATCGACACTTCCGGTGAGGGTCGTCTCTCCAGGGCCCGTGAGTGCACAGCTAGGGGCCTGCGCGGGCAGCACCGAGGCTTTGGAGGTTGGAGTGTGGACCGGAGGGACCTGGAGGAGAAGACCGAGGTGCGATGCCCGGGCTGGCCTCGGGGGAACCTGGAAGGCGGAGGGAGGGGCGTGTGCGGGGGGGGGCAACTTCCGCCTGCCGAGCCTGGCTGCAGGCGGAGGAAGGTTCTCGCTGCCTGGGCTCTCGCTAACCGCATCCCTCTCTCTGCCCGTGTGACCTGGAGCGAGCGTCCAGCACCAGAGCTGGTCATTTCTGAGAAACACGGGCAGGGAGCGCCCTTGTCAGTCATCCTCGTGCCAGGCAGGGTAAGGTGAGGCAGACTCTTGCCAGGTGCCGTGCGCGCGGCGGCTCTCGTGTTTGCTGAAAGCGTTTCCAGCCCTTTCGACAGCAGATACTCCCTGGACTCCGTGGACCTACTCTTAGCTTTTCGGGGGGGTGGGTGGGTGTGGTGACAGAGATTCCAGGAACAGGATTAGTGTATCTGCAGTTTGGGGAGTTTTAACTCTTCCCCTTAGTAAGATTTTTAATTAAGTTGCCCTGTTAAATGCCCTTTTAAGAGCCAAAATTGGTGCAATTTTTACCTATTGGCTTTTATTTTCTCAGAACGTCAAAGAATAATAAAGAGGTAAATAATAAAAAAGTAAATAGTATAATAAAATGTATATAAGCATAAAATAATATATAAAATGTAATAAAAATAATAAAGAAAAATACTAAGTATTTTTGATGTGGTGGAACCACATTATAAACTTTTAAAAGCAAGGTTATGCGAAGCGTGTGTGCACTCGCTCCCACTTGTCCTGGGCTCCCAGGCGTACTCCACTAGGCCCATCTAGAACAAGGTATCGGAATGTTGGGTTTCAGTCACTTTATTTATTGCTCGAGTACATTCACCAGATGGACGGCCCCAAGATAGCGTTGAAATAGCTCATGTTGTAAAATACTGTCCCTTTAGGTTTCCAAGAGATGAAGGCCTTTAAATTGGGATAGAGGGAGACAAAGTGAAATAAAAGACGGAAGACAGGCATCTCCCAGAAGTGGGATTATCTTTTAATCAAAGCAACAGAAGGGTTGCCAGTCTCTGTGGAAGTGGAGATTGCCCTGTGGCGTTTGGGGCTTGAGAGGGAAAGGGTATATCAGGGCTAGGGGTTCAGTGGATCATTTTCTGGCCTTCCTTCTGCCCTTGTGGTTTCAGATAGGAACTGTCCGTGCTAGCAGTTACTCTTGGCTTGGGGGTTTCTAGGCAAGCATTTGCCAGACAGGCAAATTGTCAGGTTTTCTGAGACAAACGAATCTCTTACAGAGATAATAAAAGACTTCTAAATTAAGTGGGAAATAGACAGAATTTAAGTAATAACATTCGATTGTGGCGGGTTTCATGAAAAAAAAAAAGTCGTCTTGGAAGTCGTCTCCAGCCCTCTAACCTATCAATAGATTCCAAATTCCAGAAGTCCATGTATAGGTCTAGATCTTTAGTGAGCAATTTTTTGGTGTGTGTGTCTTGTTTTGTTTTCTGAGACAGTCAGCTATGTGCGTCACACATAGTCTTCAACATAGACCTGGGCACACACCTTTAATCCCAGCACTTGGGAGGCAGAGGCAGACAGATTTCTATGAGTTTGAGGCTAACCTGGTGTGCATACAGAGTTCCAGTCTAGCAGGGCTACATAGAGAGACCCTGTTTGAACAAAAGAAAGGAGAGACCCTCCTGCTTCTGTCTCCTGAATGTGGGCAGCTCACTCACCTCATTTCAGTAGATTAAAAAAAAAGTTTCCAAGCCAAGTACTCATACCTGTAACCTCAGCGCTTGGGAGGCTGAGTGAGTTCCTGCCCACTAGGGCTACATAGTTTTAAACATTCACCGCATTACCGTGGCCCCTCCATATGTATGTATATATTTTCTGTTTTTGGTGTATGGTTTATTTGTGTGTACCCTAGAAATTGATGTCTATTGTCTTTGTGTAGTTTTTACATTTTTTGAGATAGGGTCTCTTACTGAGCCTGGAGCATGTTGGTTTGCTAGACTGGGTGGCCACCAAGATCCCTCCTCCGCCCAATCCTGCCTCTGTCTCCTAGGGTGGGAATTACAGATACATCTGTCTGTGAGTAGAGCTGGGGATGAGAGAGCTCAGGTCTTTGAGTCTGCAGGAACCTCTTTCCCCTTGAGGCAGGGTCTCCAGCACCCCAAGCTGGCCTTGAACTCACGAGACCGAGACCCACCTGCCTTTGTCTTTCAAGATCTGTGATAAAAGGAGTTAGTTCTCACTGCCTTGAACTTTGACCCTCCTGTCTCCACTGAACTACAAACCTGTGCCACCTTTCTCAAACTGAGGGCTTTGTGCATAGTAGACAGTACTCTCTCAACTGAGCTGCTTCCCTAGCCTTTTTCTTTTCTGTAGAAACAGTGTTATAAAAGGAGGATAAAGTATTGCTTATAGTCCTCATTACCTTTTGTCCCGGTCAGGTGTTAGAGGATGTGCTTTTGTCCTTATAGGCGTGTGGTGGGGAGGGAACCTCCCCCTGCCACACTGGTCTTAGACTTGCTGCTATCCTCCAGCCAAGATTATACTTGTGAGCTATCATCATCCCCAGCAATTTTGTCTTTAATTAATTAATAAGGAAATAGATGTAATGTGAATATATATATATATAAAACTAAAAAGCAGAGGAGTCCAACTAATGTTAATTCTCTCATGCAGATGAAATCATTTGTAATACTGTGTAGGCAGGCTGGCCCGCAATCATAGAGCTGTGTCTCTGTGGAGTGCAGTGTTGACATAGATTAAAGGCATATACTACCGTGCCCAACTAATATTTATTGAGTGATCAAAAAATTCCTTTTATAGTTGAGATCATATTCCATATGTAATTTTGTGTCTCATTGAATTATGAGTTATAGCATTTACCTATTTATAAATGATAAATTTCTATTCTCCCACCATGCCCCAAGACAGTTTCTCTGTGGCCCTGGTTGTCCTGGAATTGGATCTGTAGAACAGGCTGGCCTCAAACTCAGAGATCTGCCTGCCTCTGTCTGGGATTAAAGACATACACCATCCCTGACTGGCTGATAAATTTCATTTTGCTTGAGTTTTTTTTTTTTTTCCTGTTTTTTTGGGACAGGGTTTCTCTGTGTAACAGCCCTAACTGTCCTGGAACTAGCTCTTGTAGACCAGGTTGGTCTCAAATTCACAGAGATCTGCTTGTCTCCTGAGTGCTGGGATTAAAGGTGTGTGCCACCACCACCTGGATAAATTTCATTTTAAAACACGTGGTACTGAGACAATTCAAGCTTACAAAAAGGAGAGAAAGAACAATGAATTGGTCTCTCAGCTATAATAATTGTTGGTTATAATTAATCTTATTCTTATTTCTCAGAATTCTTGTCCGGTGACATGTTCATGAAACAGTTTTTTATTTTTTTACATGTTTCAAATATATTTTTTTTTTTTGTTTTTGCTTTTTTGTTTTTGTTTTTTTGAGACAGGGTTTCTCTGTAGCTTTGGAGCCTGTCCTGGAACTAGCTCTTGTAGACCAGGCTGACTTCGAACCTGCCTCTGCCTCCTGAGGGCTGGGATTAAAGGAGTGTACCACCACCGCCTGGCTAAATGTTTTCTTATATTCTGATATTTTAACTTTGTCCTTAACTATCACATAATTAAATCATTTTGTAATAACTATCTTTAGAAAATGTGTGATCCAATGGTTTGTTTACAGTGTTGAATAAGCACATATCATTATACAAGCATGGATGAAGAGCCTGAGAGAACTAAGCGGTGGGAAGGAGGCTACGAGAGAACCTGGTAGGTAGAGTGTAAATGTCACATGTTGTGGACATTGTCGCTTTCCCTTCAGCTTCAATTTACATGCACCTCATGTAGAATCTCTTTTGTGTGGCTTTTGTTGTAAACTATTAGAACATTTTAGTCACAGCAAAGTCCCTTCAGACTCACTCCGTTTCCATCGCCTGTAGACAACTGTGAATCTGTGTCCTATAGACTCACCTTTCTTGTACATTTTATATAAATTTTAAAGCTCATTCACGTGTATGTTTCTTTGTAATTGCTGTATAGTATCCCATGTACTGTTTTGCTACATTTTTGTTTATACATTCAGCATTTGATGGACATTTAGATCTGTTCCAGCTTTTGGCTATTGTGGATTGTACTGCTACAAAATTATATATACAAATTTTTACACATTTTAATTTTTTGGGTTAGTACTTTTAGCTTATCTTTTCAAACCAATAAATATCGACTACAGGGAAATTCTTAAAGAAGATGAAAGTGGATCACTTAAAGCCACGATAGAAGACATTCTCTTCAAGGCAAAGAGGAAAAGGTATGAGATGCTTCTGTGAAAGAGTTACAGGAGGGGAGATAGATTCCTGAAGCCTTCCTGTCTCGCTCCAGCCTTCCTTAACCCTTCCTTTTACTGTGTGCTCAGTAGGAAGCTCATCCATAGTTGACCGGGGTAAAGGACTAGCAGCTAGCCCTGCCCCCAGGAAAGTAGCGTTCAGAAACTGTCCGTGTGTATTCCAAAGTTAATAATTCACTAAAAGGTACAGATTAGTTGTTTTATTGGGTTTTTGGTAGAGTATGGTGTTGAAATGAAGTATTTTTTATGATTTTAACAGAGTGTTTGAGCACCATGGACAGGTCCGACTTGGAATGGTATGTTATGATTTTTTCCTTGACTTGTGCAGAACTAGTTTGGATCAGAGGAATATTCTGACTTGATAGAATAAATGGTAAAACAACTACTTCTTTAAAATATATGGGATATTTGAATATTAAATGATATTTTTGCTTCTTCTCAAAAATGTACTTGGGAACTTCATTTGTATTTGGTAGATGCGCCACCTGTATGTGGTAGTAGACGGCTCCAGAACAATGGAGGATCAAGATTTAAAGCCCAATAGGCTGACTTGCACTTTAAAGGTAGAGTAAAACCATTTAAATCTGTGCTAAGCGTAGGGAAAGCATTTACATACACACACATGTATATATGTTTAAGAATGCAGGAAATGTTTTGCTTTGTTTTTCTAACTAATAACAAATGTTAGCTATGTAGAAATGCTGCTAGATCATTTTCTAAAGTATTTTTTTTACCCCAAAAACTAGTCTATAAATATGTTTTGAATTCTCCAACAATTTTTAAAAATTATGTATGTACATTGGTGTTTTGTCTACATGTATAAGTGTGTCAGATCCTCTGGACCTGGAGTTATAGACAGGTATAAGCTGACATATTGGTGCTGGAAATTGAACCCAGGTCCTCTGTAAGAGTAGCCAGTGTTCTTAACCACTGAGCCATCTCTCCAGCCCACTTTTTTTTTTTTTTAAACAAAGATATGAGCCAGCAAGATGGCTCCAAAGTGTTTGCTGTACAAGACTGACAACCCGAGTACCACTAGTTCTCTTCCAGAGGACCCAGGCTCAATTTCCTGTGCCAGTGTGACAGTTCATAACTGGCCATAACTTATTGTTTCAGGAATCCAGCACCATTTACTGACCTCCACAGGCATCAGGCACACAGGTCATGCGCAGGTATACATGCAGGCAAACCATATACATAAAATATACATAAAATAAAATAAAAATGGTGAAAGGAGAAAACTGACTAACTCTAGAAAGTTATCCTCTGACCTCCACACGTACACTGTGGTTTGTTTTTTTCTCTCTTTCTCTGTCTCACTCACACACACCCATACAAACACACCATGATAATAAAAAATTAACTTGTTTTTAAACAAGACTTGAAGCCGTGAAGTGGTGGCTCATACTGGTGGCACACACCTTTAATCCCAGCACTCAGGAGACAGGCCAGCCTGGTCTGGTTTGAGACCAGAGTGAGTTCCAGTACAGCCAGGGCTATACAGATGAATCCTGTCTGGAAAAACAAAATAAAAACAAGATCAAAAAAAACAAAACAAAAGACTTGAATAAGTAATTGCTTTGGTTTATTATTTCCCTAAATTACTGGTTCTTAACTTTCCTAATGGTCTTAGGTGACCCCTGTGTGAAAGTGTCATTTGCCCCCAAACGGGTCGCAACCCTCAGGTTGAGAACTGCTTTCTTGAGGCTAGTTATTCCCTGCCTCCCCAAGTGGTTTTCATTCTCCTTTGACTTTTGAATCTTTGCTTTCAATTTAACAGATTAGATTAACAATATTCTAACTTATTTATTTAGTTTTTTTCCAGACAGAGTTTCTGTGTGGTCCTGGCTGTCCTAGAACTAATTCTGTAGAACAGACTCAGAGATCTATTAGCCAGGGGTGCACAGTGAAACACTGTCTCACCAACACCTTGTATTTCTTCAAAGAAGTGCTACTTAATAAATAGATTCTACAGAATATTGAAATGTTCTTTATTGTTGTTATTTTGCCTTTTATAATACTTCTTTTAATTTCCTTTTAACAGTTGTTGGAATACTTTGTAGAAGAATATTTTGATCAAAATCCTATTAGTCAGGTATGTAGATAAATGGTAGGATTCAAAACTAGATTCCCTGCTGTCAAATATAGTTTATTTCAAGAAGATGAGGCATATATTGTATGAGGTATCAAGGAAACCAGATCATGTACCTATTTTTGGTGTACTTGATAGTGAAGAGCAAGCTAGCTCAGGGTTAGACATATGCTGGGCTAATAGTGTGTAGTCAGTTCATAGCAGATTGTCAGAAACATCATGAGGAAAAAGTTCAGGTGTGTTCTTTGTTTCTTTTGCAGTTACTAATTGATAGTTCATGTATTTCTTTATGAAGAGGAAATAATTTGTTATATTAAAATATTTTTTGTTTTCATTTTGAGATTGGAATAATTATAACTAAGAGTAAAAGAGCTGAAAAACTGACTGAACTCTCAGGTATGTATAAAAGTATCTTTACAAGGCTCAAGGACTTTCTTACCGAACTCTGTAATCTTCCCGTGTGGCTTGCGGATAAAGTGAAACTTTCCTCTGCATTTTAGGTGAACAACTTACTGTCCTTTTATTGAACTCTTGGGACTTACTGTTAATTGTTTCAAATTGAGTTTTGAAGTGTTGGATAATTGCATTGAAATACACATCCTTATCCTGAAAATAATAAGATAGCCTAATTGTTAGCGATTCATAAAATTCATATAATGTTGAAATTAAATGTCTAATTAAGAAAGCAAAATGTATAAAAATTGAATTGGGCTATTTATGAATAGCTATAGAAATGGCTCAGAGCACTTGCTCTTTCAGGGGATCTGGATTTAGTTCTTAGCACTCACACAGGGACTCCCAACTGTCTGTTACTCCAGTTCCAGGGGATCTGACACCCTTTTCATGTACAGGCAAAACTCATACACATAAGTAAATAAATAAAAATTTAAAAAATTAGTGGCAGTTTCTTTTGCCTTTATTATATATGCTGTTACAAATTTGTATCACTGTTTTTTGTAAAATATATTATCCCTTAAATTAGGTTCTCAGTTTTCTGTTAGTACACATAAGGGAGATGGCATACTTTCTTCACTAATAGTTCTTCCTCTAACCACAAGGAATCAAATATACATTTGTCAAAAGTGTGCCAGGAAATCAGTTGACAATAATCCCTACTAAATAGTCCTAGAGAATGTTAGGGATGTAGCTTAATAAATAAAGCCCTGGGTTTGAATACCAATACCATAAGAAGCAAAACCAGGGGGAGGAGAGATGGCTTACTAGTTAAGAGCATTGGCTGCTCTTCCAGAGGATCCAAGTTCAATTGCTAGCACCCACATTGGCCCATAATCATCTGTAATTCCAGTTCTTGCAGATGTGATGTCGTCTTCTGGTTTGTAGGGACACCAGGCACACACATGGTGCATAGATATACATGCAGCCAAAACAGCCCCCATTCGCATAAAAAAAAAACCCAAAAAACAAAAACAAAAATGCAAACCAACTCAAAGTAATTTCACTGCAAAAAGGAAATTGGCATATATTCAAAAGTGGACTGATTTCTCATGTAACTGTTATGTATATTAATGGATAAAGATTTTATATCTACATATAGCAAAATATATAGTAATATATGTGAATAAATAATACATATATATATATACACATATATTCTTTTCAGTATGAAACAAGACTGTCTACCAGATATCTCTGATAAAAATACAAACTGATAGAAATTGAAGGCATTCTGTTCTTTAAAATCATAAATTTGTAGTTTGGAATCAACATGCTTTTCTATATTTATATATAGAATTTTATTGAAAATTATTTCATTTTACTTTAGGAAACCCAAGGAAACACATAGCATCTTTGAAGAAGGCTGTTGATACGACCTGCAGTGGAGAACCGTCTCTCTATAATTCCTTAAGCATGGCTATGCAAACCCTGAAGTTAGTATTTTAAAATTTATTTATTCTGTTTTTGATTGTGTGTCTGTGTGTGTATATGTGTGTGTGAAGGAGTACAGCAGGCCAGAAGAGAGTGTCAGATCCCTTGGAATGGAGTTACAGGCGTTTGTGAACTGCCCAACATGGCTGCTGAGACTCGAGCTTTGTGCCTTTGCAGGAATATATCT